CGACCCCTCCTCCTGACGACGTGGGTCATGATGGCGCCGGGGAGGAGTTCAGGGAGGCGGTCGCAGCTGGTGCTACCCGATGGATGCCTGACCTGTCGGACGCTGAATCGGGGGGGCGTTCGTGGCGAGGATGGTGCGTCCCCTACGCGATGGAGTGCTCAAGGCTGCCTCAACACGTTGCATGGGTAGCAGCAGCCCTCGCGGATGGCAATTTCAACTCTCTGCGCGAGCTCGCAGATGACATCTGCAACGGCGCCTGGGGCCGTTCCTCTGAGAACCGCGCTGCCATCATATCCTACCTGGACTGGCTGGCCATGCATGACACACCACTTGGGAGACGCGACGCCAGTCAGCATTGGGAGGAGCTCGAGGCGATCAGGAACGACATGAGGAGGATCATGGGCGACAGGCCGATGCCAGACCTCCTCCGCTACTACGACGACCAGCAGGGCACCTACGAGGGGGAGTCTCTCTCTCATAGGATACAGGTTTCGCCATCCTCTGATGACGCCGCCCCCTTTGCCAGGAGAGTGCGCCAGAAGGTCTCCCAGGACCCCAGGCCGTCTCAACCTTCTGGCACTGGCCTGGCCTCGATGCCACCAAAAGGACTAACAGGGGGTGGTGAACTCTTGGCGTCCAGAGGCTCTCAGGAGCAGTTCGGAGGACAGAAAGATCTGGCGAAGAACGCGTGCAATATATCGGCCCGTCCAGTGCCACCACCTCGGCGCCGAGCACGCTGGACTCATCTCCCCAGACTGCTTCGTCCAGGACATTGGCAGGACGTCCACACGGCCGAGGGCAATCAATACTTCGACAGCGCCTGGGACATCATCTACCTTGCCTGCAATCAGACCCCCCTGCAGTGCCCCTTGTGCCTCCAGGCCTTCGCCAATATCATCATGGCGCACGTTGACCAGCTCGACAGGCAAGAAGGCAGGCATCGAGCTCGCAAGTTCAAGTCTTGGGCACGAGATGCGATGGTCACGGGCCCCGCGCAAGTTTACTCGATCACGAGAGTGCAGCCTTGGGCTCATGCGCAGATCAAGCAGGGGAAGACCACGACGTCGCACCCGCAGGCGATCGCAGACAGCCAGATGGACATTTGGAGGAAGATCTGGGAGGGCGAGCGACGAGATGATGCAGACCTCCCGCGACCGCTCGCTGATCATGAAGATCTTGACCTCGTGGCAGCGATTCGCCACCTTCCTCCTGCGGCCCTGCCCGTACCGACGATCGCACAGACGAGAAGGGCAGCAGCTACATTCAGGTGGCGCACTGGTCTTGGAGCTGATGCACTTCCACCTCGTGCCCTCTCTCTGGTGTCGGACGCAGCCCTAGCCATGCTGATTTATATTTACTGGGCTGCGGAAGCATGGATGAGATGGCCGACGGCCATGCTCAACGTGCACATCATGCTCCTGGCCAAGCCGCAATGAGGGTTTCGGCCAATAGCTCTCCTTCCTGCGGCGTATCGGATCTACACGAAGCTCAGGCTTGCGCAAGTTCGGATTTGGATCTCACAGAATACTCGGCCCTATTTCGCGCTGGGCACCCACAAATGTACACTAGATGTGAGTGCGCGCACCATGATTTACGCTGAGGCCTACGCCCATGACAGGCGGAGGGCCACCACCACCACACTCGTGGACATCAGCAAGTGCTTCGACAGAGTCTGTTGGCGTCGAGTCCTGCAGGCTGCCGCACATTACGGGTTCCCAGCACAGATCCTGCAGCTATGCCTGGCGATGTACTACGCCCCGAGGAGAATCAAGTGGACCACCTCCTTTTCCTACTCGTGCCAGGTGAGCAGGGGAGTACTCCCAGGCTGTTCGATTGCTATGTTCCTGCTGCAGCTGGTCATGACGCTGCCTTTCGACATCTTCGAGAAATCATTCGCCAACACCGACGAGGCGCACCACTCGTTGGACATCTACGCAGACGACATCACGATCCAGGTGGTTGCCACGCCGCAGGACATTGTCTACCAGACGGTGCGTATCTTGCAGCGGCTCGCTGCAGTTCTCAAGGCTCTTGACCTTCCAATTGCTCAGGACAAGGCGAAAGTGTTGGCCTCAGATTTTGAGATTGCGCAGCAGGTCACCCAGCAGGTCCATCGTCACGGATTTCGGCCTTACAAAACATTGGAGGTGCTCGGCATGGAAGCTAAAGGAGGGCACAGGCTGAGCTTCGAAACGATTCGCAAGAGGGTGCGCAAGATGAAGAAGAGGCTCCCGCGCATCAGGAGGCTCAATGGACTGGCCAAGATCGGGCGAGCGGTGGCGCAGCCATGCATTGCCCCCGCCACGCAGTATGGCATCCAGATCGTGGGCGCCACCAAGACGCTGATCAAGCCGATGGTCAGCATGGTTCGCGTGGGCTGGCGGCGCACTCCTCCTGGCACTTCAGTCTGGCTGGCTGCTCAGCTCGAGCCGCGTTTCTTTGAGCACCCTGAGATGATGGCGACTGTGGGCCCCCCTTTTATACGTGGGCCATGCTCGTCCAGGACGCCAAGGTGCCCAACTACGTGCTGGAAAAGGCATTCAGGCAGCAGCGCCAGATACTAGGTTCTACCCCGAAGCACGCTGACGTAGCTGGCCCAGCAGGGGCCGTCTTGGTGGAACTTCATGCTATCAATTGGCGTGTGACGACTGCGACGACATGGACTACGTGCTCAGGTATAGACCTGGACCTCACTACTGACAGCCCTGCATGGCTCAGAGTTCTAGCAAGGCGGGACTTTATCAACGTGAAGTTTGAAGATTGGAGTCGCCAGAAGGATCATGTGCCAGAGGACGACCCACCAATAAGGAGATCGTGTGGCTACTGGATGGGCCCGCTCAAGATGTTGCTGGCACAGAAGGAGCTGGCCAAGAAGTGGCACTTGTCAGAACAGGCTCGAGCAGCACTACGCACCTCGATCATTGGGGGTCAATGGTCCCAAGCTCGGCTATATAAACATGGATGCGCTGCTGACAACTTGTGCCAATATTGTATGGACTGCCCTGGGACAGTACATCACCGTCTCTCGTCCTGCCCTTTGCTCCAGCAAGCAAGGGAAGCTGCAGTTGATGCTTACATTATCCAGGCAGCTCGAGCCTCACCTCACAACGACCTCTTGTTCACCAGGGGCCTGATGCCGAGGGGCGCCCTGCCTGCTATTCCGCCACCAGCCATGGTGGACTCATGGAGGTTTGCACATGGAGGCGACATGACCATGCTGACGGGTGAAATCTACACGGATGGTTCAGGGCTCTCCCCCGTAGCCTGGCCTGAGGCCAACAGAGCAGGCTGGGGGATTGCGATGATGACAGGCCAGACACTACGAGGGATTGCGTATGGAGCACTACCAGGACACCAACAATCAGTACCGCGAGCTGAATTATACGCGGTCATTCAAGCTCTACGACATGGGATGCTGCCGATGCATATCCGCACGGACTGCCTGGGCACCGTGGAGGGCATCATGAGCGGGCCTGAGCGGTGCACACACCCGCGCAGGCCGAATTGTGATATGTGGAGATTGCGATGGCCGGCCATCCAGGATCATGGGGGATTGTCCCCGCAGCTGGAGATCTCCGATGTTCGATCGCACCAGCTTCACGAAGAGATAAGCGTGGACAAGAAGGGTAACGACGATGCAGATGTTGCGGCGAAGAGGGGGCTGGCTATGCACGCGTTGCCGTCGGAAGTCAGCCAGCTCCACTCGAACATGCTCAAAATTGTCAGGCAGGTGGCGTGCTGGATTGGGTCCTCCATGACGCTGGTTGGGAATCAGGACCGCCAGCCACCGCCTGTACGCAAGCCACGTCGACGACACCAGCAACGACGTCGGCCTGGACGACAGCAGCCAGTTCTGACAAGGAGCCAGCGCCTGCACGACGTCAGGCCAGCGCTGGCTGGAGGATGGAAATGTAAATACTGTCAGCGCTTCGCGCGGACCGCATCTGGACGGAAGCGCCTGGCCCTCGAGGTTTGCACAGTGCACCGCCTCTCGGAACCTCAGGTCCCAGTGCCCCAGTCCTGCCCTGAGGTGGCCCCGCGGAGCCCGCCCCACGGCCCCCGACAGGCCCTCAAGAGGCCCCTGGGATGCCTTGTCGGCCTGGAAGGCGGACTTGACGAGGACGGCCCTGGGAGGAAGGTGCTGCGCGGGGACCCTCCCTCCCCCCCTGCCTCGTCCTCTGACCTCCCTCCTCCTCCTCCTCCCCACCCGAGCCCGAGGGTTAGGATTGTGGGCAAAACTAGGAGGCCTGAGGACGAGGAGGCTGAGGCTTTCATTCGACCCCCCCGTAGGGTCAAGCCAAGAGTGCAGCCTGGCGGCGGCCACCACGAGGGCCAACGCCGCCCCTCCCAGCACGGTGCTCCCCGCGGAGGGGACGGTCCCTCCTCAGGCCTCTCGAGGCCACGTGCTCTACCGTGCGGGCGACGTGGTTGGATGCATGCGCTGCGGATCCTTTTCGGAGCGCGCTCACAGATCCCAGCTTTATAATGAATGCGAGGGCCCCAAAGCCTTTGAGGGGAACCCTCAGAGGAAATGGAGGCGGAATAATTTCGCCGAAGGGCGTCACCCCAGCGAGGGTCGCAGGCACCCCATCCCCCTCCCTTGGCGCATGTTGGTCTCTGACCCCGCTGTGGAGTGGCTTGGCCTAGCTACCTGAATTCGGTTCAATTCGTTTTGTTCTTAATTTCTCTGTGCGGGGCCTGGTGATTCGATCGGCCCCGAGCCCAGGCCAGTCTCCTGGCCTGTATCTTCGGCATGGGCCCGTCGTCGGGTTCGTGCGAAGGGATATGGTTGGGCTTGCCCTCTCGCGTTCCCCATTCAGTCTGTGAGTGATTGTGCGTTCTCACCTCTTCCCAATCGTTGCTCTCTGTCCCGATTCCCGACTCGGCGCGTCCCCTCATGCGCTCGCTACTCCTCCCTCCTCCCTCCTCCCTCCTCCGGGGCCGCCCCGGGGGCCTGTCGCCTCGCCGCGGTCGGGCCCGCCCCGCCCCCGGGCCCCCAGCACGGGGCGGACCCCGGGAGGAGAAGGAGGAGGAGGAGGAGGAGGAGGAGGAGGAGGAGGAGGAGGAGGAGGAGGAGGAGGAGGAGGAGGAGGGAGGAGGGGGGCGAAGGGACAAGGTAGGTGCGGTCGCTCTATAGGCAGCGCCAGGGAGGGGAGGGCCGCCGCCGCCTCGGCGGGCCCTGCCCCGGCAGGAGTGGGCCTGCCTGGTGGCCTCCACCTGGCCGCTCCACGTGCTCGGCGACCCCGCGCGGCAGCCGCGCGCCGTGCGCTCGCCGGAGGAGTTCGCCCGGGCCCTGCTGCTCGAGGACCACCTCGAGGACGTCGTGGTGCTCCGCGGCGGCCTCGGCGCGACCGGCCTGGAGGAGGAGGCCGCGCCATGCTCGGAGCTCTGGGCCAGCCGAGACGGCGGCGGCCTTGCCTTGCGTTCTGCGCCCTGCTCTGGGCCCCCCGGAGGCCTCTCGTGGCCACAGCTGGAGCCGCCCCGAAGAACGGGCTTGGGCGGGCGCCGGGAAGGGTCTGGGGTCCGGAGACCGATCTTGTGCGGATCTAGTTTGGGCGGGACAGCCGCCGCAACCAGGCCCTCCTCCGACATGTTCCTTCACGGGGAGGCCGGATGGCAGCACCTCTCACGGTTTTCGTTTGGTGAGCGGTTGGTTCGTTGTCGGTCTCGCTGGCAGGCTTGCCCCGGCGTCATCCAAATCTACTGGTACTACGCGTGCGTCTCCTCCAGAGGGGCAGCGCGCGCGTTTGATGGCCATACCGGGGGGGAAGCGATACGATGTTTATGCTATCTGTTCGATTTGGACGTGCGCCCCCTAGGGGGCGCATAGCACTAGCATGTCCTTCTGCGTCCACTTGCCGTCCGGTGGTGGACGTCGTCTGCCCATGCAAGCCGCTGCCGATCTCAGAAGGCACCTGCACCCCCGATTTTGAACGTCCCGAAGGCCGCTCTGCCCGGCTGGGTCACCGAGGCGTTGGACGGTGCGGAAGGCTCCGTGCTGAGCTTCCTCCGGGGGCTGAGTGCCGAGGCGCTCTCGGCGCACAAGGCCGTGCGCGCGCTGCCCGTGCACCCGAGCCGTACGCGGCCAGGGCGTCCTTCTTTCCGGCCAGGGCCAGGCACATGCGTGCGCACGACGGCACGCGCACTCCGTACGGTGGGGGCATTCGTGAGGGAGCGTGCCCAGGAGACTTCAAACCCTGGAGGGCTCCTTCTAATTATCTGATGAGGGCGGCGGTGATATCCATGGCCAATCCACGATTGGCTCTCCACCGGCCTCCAGGCCCTGGATTCCTCAGCGAAGGTTCCATATCCAATGCCGTCGCCGTACCATGGGCCTGGGAGCGGCCTGGCCAGGCTTGGTGCTGGTGGGTAGTCGGCGTACCCTGAGGCCGCCCTCGAGTACGTCGACGAGCTCGGGGTGCAGCGCGAGGTGTTGCCGCGCCCTTACCCTTTCTCTGCAAGCCCGACCGCCCGCACAGCTTCGAGTCAAGAGAGACTCGTGCAAGCGTAACGAGGGTGTCCTCCTTCCGTCCATCCGTTCTCCTATTCTCCTGCCCAGTCCTAGCACGATCGTAAAGTTCCCATTCCGCCGTATTTGCTCCCCCTGTTCCGAGTCCCCAGCTTGAGCAATCGCGTGGATTCCTCGGGAGTTTCGTTTGATGGTCGATCGGAGTACGCCCTTGGGCCGAACTTCAGGAAGCTCCGAAGCAAATTTCAGTCGGGAGGGGATGCTCCATTCAGTCGAGCAGCACGGGCCTGCGCATTCGGGCTTGCAGCTTCTGCCTATGGGAGTCGGCCGCTGGCGAGCCAGCCGAGCCAGCCGTGGGTGCCCCAGACGAGCTGCCAGAGGCTTGGCGAGATCTGCGCAGTCGGCTTGCTGCCGTGGAGGCGCGCCTCGCCAGCGGGGAGATGGACGGCAGCCGCCTTTACGCGTGCGAGATGAGGCGTCTGAGGGAGCGCGAGGGGAGCGCGGACAACTCTGCCCCGGGCGGTGACGGCCGAACCAAGAGCCTCAGCCTGCGGCATGCGCGCGACTGGCTGGGCACGCTGGCGCGCTGGACGCTGTACTGGAACTGCTACGACGACGGCCTCTTCGTGGGCGGCCGCGGCAGTGGCAAGGGCCTGCACGTCGACCAGGTCCTCTGGAGCAACGTCGGGAAGCACTGGCGTGGGCTGAAGCTGCTCGCCGTGTGGCCGGCCGGGCAGGTCAGTGCCGACCTGGTCGCAGAGCTCGGCGACGCGCAGTTCGCTCCCCCGCTGGGGCCCAGGCAGGCACGGGCCCTCGAGCGCGCGTCGAAGGTGGCGCTGCTGCGCCCCGGGGACCTCTTCCTGTGCAGCGGCGGGGTGGCGCACGCGACGCTCGGCGTCTCCGACGAGCTGACGGTCACCGCCTACGAGTCCCTGGTGACGCTGCACCCGCGCCACGTCGCGCACTTCCTCCAGACGGGTGCCGCGGGCGGGCCCGGGGCCATGGAGGCGGAGGAGCTCCGCGACCTCCTGCGCGGCGCCGCGGCGCGCGCCAGCCGGCTGCTCCGCGAGAGTCAGCCGCCGCTGGGGAGCCGCGTCGAGCCGCCGCCCGGCGCCCGGGTGTTGCCAGAAGTGCCCCCCGGCCCCCAACGTGTGCAGGAGCTCCAAGGCGGTCCCCAGGAGCGCCCCTCGCGAGGCCCGGAGGGCCCTGCAGGGGCTCCAAGAACATATCAGGAGAGGTGCAGACACAATTCATCGTCATATGTGAAAGTATAGGGAATCCTTTTATTTGTGTCTAGTTCTTCGTGTGTCTCAGGGCCCCTTCAATATAGAGAGCGAAGAGCCGGGGGCACACGAGGGGCCTCAGGGACACCTGCCAGCACGACGAGGCCTGCCCGGGGCCGGCGCCTGGCTGGGCGACCTGCGGGGCCTGCTCGCGGACGCGGCCGCCGCCCTGGCCGCGGGCGCCGCGCCCGCCGGGCGCGCGCCCGCTGGCGGGCTCCCCGAGGCCCCATCGCCGGCCACGAAGCGCAGGAGGCTCGGCGCCGGCACGCCCCATGCGTCGCCCTGCCCAGGGGCCTCCTCTTCCTCTCGGGAGCACGTGGAGAGGGGGGTGCGGCTCCAGGTCTCAAGGAGGGGTTCCAGGGAGCGGGCCCAGGTTGAGGCTGATGCTTCCCCTGGTCCAGGGGCCGTCGGTGAGCGTGTTTCCTCGCTGCCTCCGCCTGGGCGGCGCAAAGATACGGGTCCGACTGCGCGGACGTTCGCGCAGAAGCTGCCCGCATGAGCCACCGCGCAAGCGCCCTCTTCCCCACGCGGTGGCGGGCCGCATGAGTCGCGCGTAAGGTCGCCATGGCATCTCGCGTATGACCCGGTTGGTTCCTTCGCTTCCTTATTGTCCTGCCTTGAAGCTCGTTGAGGGGCAGCGAACGCGATCTGTGCTTCTGGGGCGACGGGGGAGAGGGCAATGCTTCTGGAGGGCAAGAGCAAGCCTGAGCAGCCCAATCGTCGTCGTCGGCAAGAGCAAACCTGAGATCAGAGCTTCTCGCGAAGGGCGGCTGTAAGGATTGCTGTTGACCGATCAAGCGCGCCCGGCGAGCGTACGGGGATCTGGCCCTGGAAGCAACGCTGCCCCCCCGGCGACCTTCAAGTCCTCCCTGACTCCAGATCCGCCCTACTTTGGCTTTTTTCCAACTTAGAATTGCGTCGGAAATCCACCTATAAGAAGCCGCAAAAGTAGGGCGGAAATTTCTGCACCCAAAATAAAGTAGGGCGGAAATCCACAGAAGTAGGACGGAAACAGCAGCAGAAAAGTTAGGGCGGAAATTGGCATCGGCGGGGCTTGAAAAATAGGGTGGAACTTCCAAGCCCTGCTGACGAATTTCCCCAAAGTAGGGCGCATCCGGAGTCAGGGCTGCCCCACTTTCACACGTCCCCCCGATTCTCCTCCTCTCCCTCGACCTCGAGCTCCTCGCCGTGCGCCGGCTCCGGCGGGGAGGAGGAGGCCGCGGGCTGAGGTCCGCGATCTCCAGAGCTCGCGCCGGCGTCGTCGGGGGCGGCCGGCGGTCTCGGCGGCAGCGAGAAACAAAAAAAAAGCAAAACAAAAAAAAACAAAAGAAAAAATCAAGAAAAAACACACCGCCGCTCTCTCTCTCGCTCTCGCTCTCTCTCTCTCTCTCTCTTTCTCTCTTTCTGTCTCTGTCTCTCTCTCTCTCTGTCTCTCTCTCTCTCTCTCTCTCTCTCTCTCTATATATATACATATAACGGGGGACCGGGTCCGGGGGCCCGGGGCCGGGACCTCGACCGCAAATGTGGGCTCCGGGGGGCCCGGAGGCTCGTCGGGGCTTGCCGGAGGCTCCCCGGTCAGACAAGAGGGCCCCAGAAGCGCCCAAGACGGCCCAAGAAACTTCCAAGAGGCCTCCAAGAGGGCTCCGAGATGCTGAAGATGGCCTCCAGACGTCCAAGGACGCCCCCAAGAGGCCCCAAGAAGCCTCCAACATGCGTCCCAAGAGGGCCCCTAGACGCAAAAAATTGCCCATTCCCTTCGTAAAACGTACATTTTCAACAAAGTTGCCTTTTGGGCTTTCCGACGTTACAGGACGGCCCAAGAGGCGCCCAAGACCGCCCCAAGACGGCCCAAGAAGCTTCCAAGAGGGCCCCAGGACAGCCCAAGAGGGCCCCAAGACGGCCCAAGAGGCGCCCAAGATGGCCCAAGAGGGCCCCAAGACGGGCCCAAGAGGGGGCCCAGAGGGGGACCACGAACCGCAAGCTCGAGCCTTCCGCCCCAAGAGGCCGCCAGGAGGCCCCAAGGAGGCCCCTCAAGAGGCCCCAGGAGACCCCCAAGAGGCCCAAAGGAGGCCCCGAGAAGCCCCAAATCGGCCCCCCAAATGCTTCGAACCTGCTTCCAGGAGGCCCCCGACAGGTTCAGAGGCTCCCAAGAAGCTACGTCAAACTCCCAGCGAGCGGCCGGACGAGGCCCCCCAAAAAATCCCAAGAGGGTTCCAGTATTTGTATCCTTCAGCGCTCTCTGGCCTTCTTTCCCCTGCCCCCTTCCCTGCGACTTTCGTTGACTCAAGCTCGCCTCCTCTCCATTTCCTCTCTCTGCCTCTCTATCTCTCTCTCTGTCTTCTTCTCTCTCTCTCTCTCTCCATCTCTCTTTTTTTTTTTTGTTCTCTCTCTCTCTCTCCTTCGCTCTCTGTCTGTCTGTCTCTCTCTCTCTCTCTCCCTCTCTTTCTCTCTCTTTCTCTTTCTTCCTTTCATATTCCGTGTCCTTGCGACCTTCTGCAGTCCCCGACGTCGCCACGGCTGGATTCGCTCGAGCGTGTCTTGTGATGTGCGGCGGTGCGAAGCCCGTCCCACTGATCAAGGCACAGGTACGAAATGATGGGTCCATCATTTCTTGCCTTCCCATGTGCGTTTTCCCAATCGATTCCTGGGCCCGAGGTCGCAAGAATTACGACGTCGGAGGTCTGGGGAGGCGGGAAGCACGACCTGGACCTCCGACGTCTTGGAAAAATCACGACGGCGGTTTCGGTCAATTTTCGGCCTCCGGGGCCCCTCGCAGGGTCCCGGGACCGTCAGAAAACGACTCAGGATGAAAAAAAAACACATCCCCAGGAAGTCGTCGAGAGGTCCAGGGGCCGCGCACAGAAAGCATCACGACATCGGACGTCCAGAGAGGAGGTAGGAACACGAGGAGGAGGGAGCCCAGACCTCCTGGCGACGCAACACCAAATACAACAAAAGCTTCCCCGCGACTTCCCCCAGAGACTCTAACTACAGAAACTCCTTTCGTATTCCGGCCAGAAGCATCCAGAAACGATGTACATTAGCCCTGGCGGGGGGAGTGATGGCGATGGTGATGTTCATGATGACGACGGTGACGATCCTAGCTAGAACCTAAGCGCGCGCGAAGCGCGCGCGTGGTTCTAGTATATATATATATATATATATATTTCTCTCTCCCTCTCCCTCTCCCGCTGTCTCTCTCTCATGTCGGGCATCTCTCTCGCACTTCACTGACCGTGTACCACGCTCTCTCGGTGTATGTATGCGCATCTCTATCTATCCCGATGTACAAAACACACACTTCATTGACTACCATTCAGGCGAGAAGGATGTGTTGGAGGACGGGCGCAGCTTTCGGTCTGCGAGTGGCATCCGGCGGCATCCGATCGGATTCGAAATCTTTATGTATCTCTCGAGCTCGCCGAAGTACCCATCTCTCTACCTACCTGCCGCACTCACTGCCCGCGAAGCTACGCAGGGCACTCGCGCGCCCAGAACGAAGCCACGTGCAAATGCCGCACTGAGCAGTAGCAATCATTGCTGGCAAGCCTGTAGCTCTGTTCGCAGAGTTGTCGTCTTGATGTATGCGATTCGCTGTCACACCGTATCTATCTTGTCGCAGATGTTGTTCGGTAATGCTGGCTTGTTGAATCGGCAAGCGAATGCTGGATCGGTCTACGGTGGACGCGAATAAGTCTGAGAGAGACATGGGGTTGGAGTCATAGACCAAATGGAGGTTTCATCTCTGCACTCTTGATC